TTTGCTTTGCTTTGCTTTGCTTTGCTTTGCTTTGCTTTGCTTTGCTTTGCTTTGCTTTGCTTTGTTTTTATGGTTCTCCCTGAACTTTGGCTCTTATAATTTTTTGTTCCCTTCTCCACGAACCATCACCCTTGTGTTTAGAGAAGCGGGTGGTAATATGGATATCCCAATAGTAACTTTATTGATGCTTATTCTCTGCATTTTTACCAGTTAGTGTTTTCTAACTTTACTTCTATGCACTATAAAAAGAAACTTCTCTGATTTCATCTAAGAGTCACATTCATCTGTAGACATGGAAAGCAGTTTAATACTATACCTAGTAAGCATAATGTTAATAATAGGTTCACCCCTGAGGCCTGTGGCTCCCAAACCATTGGGTTTTGGCCATGTGTACAGTATAAGCCATATGTTTCCTCATATAGAGCAGATATTAAATTCAATCGGAAAGGGATGAGTTACTCTTACAACATCTGTACTACTATTGCATCTATGGGTACATATGGAACATAGTCGTAATTATTGTACATCATAGGGTTCCAAGCTTAGGAAAACCGTTCATCACAATGCCCCTGCTTCCTGCAGTTTACATATATCTCTGAGTTCTATAAAAGTTAGTCAACAGAAAGGAAGCTTCCTGGTACATGTCAACTTGATTTCTTCATGTCCTATCATCAATGTCTTCAGGAGCTGATATGTGTCACCAACAAGTTCTGGTGGAAAACCAAGAACATTGGCAATAGTTTGGACTATTTGTGAGTATCTCTGGGATACATCTAACCAACAATTCAAGAGGAGGCACTGTGCATTCTAGTTGAAAACTTAGAAACTTATGGCTTCTGCGCGCGCACACACACGCACACACACATACACACACACATATATACACACTCACACACGTGCATGTTATATGTGTGTGTGTGATCACTGATCTATTATATGTTATCCCTCCTCAAACACTTTCCTTTGCACTCCTCTTGCTCTTCCCTGTTAATCCTCCTCTCCATTATTTCCTTTGAACTAGCATTTTTAATGCTGAGGATTTATTATTGTTACATCATTAAAGCTCTATTTGCATTTTCAGAGTATGTATTCTTGATTCTTCTAGACCCCAGAGCTCTCTCTGTTTTCTTCCTTCCTTCCTTCCTTCCTTCCTTCCTTCCTTCCTTCCTTCCTTTCTTTTCTTTTTTTCACTTTTTATTGATTCTTTGTGAGTTTCACATCTTGCACCCCAGTCCCACTTGTCTCCTCTCCCCATCACCTCATATCTGCCCTTTGCCCTTGCAATGCCCCCAGTAGAAAACCATAAACAAACAAACAAACAAACAAACAGTATCAAAAGCATCTCATCATGGATGCTTTAGTACGGCACAGTGTGTCCCACAGTATATTCTTCTGACTTTCTACACATCTTTATTTGCTAATGTTCATTGCAATGAGTCATTAGTCTTGTTTGAGATCACTGGTTTCTGTTATACCACCAATATTTGATCCTCACCAGGCCTCATCCTGGTTATCCTGTTGTTGCCTTGTGTCTTGGAGATCATGCAGAATTATATCAGCAGTACTGGTCCTTTCAAACATCCTAACCATTCACAGATGATATAGATTTTGGGGTGAGCCAACTCACAGCACTGGATCTGGGCCTGTGGAGTAGCTGAGCTGGTCAAAACGCTGGCTCTTTCTTATTCACACCACCAGGGTGAGCTCCCCAGAACTACTCTGGCCATGTCAACCAATGCTTCCATTGGCAGGAGGCAGGGTCAGATCTACTGCCCTCAGAGCTGGCCCACCTACCTACATTCATGCTTCCAGGGCCAGCACAACTGTGCTGTCCAGATGAGGTTCATGGCCCACTCTGAATGCTAGAGCCAGTGTGGGGGTAGGGATAGTATTCCTGCTCTCATATCCTTGGTGGTAGTTCTACTGACTACCACAGGTGGCAAAGAGAGAGGCCATCACCCCTACACTCATACCACCTCATGGAAGAAGAGTGGTGGGGCCTACTTTTCTACACCCTCACCCTTGGAGCTGGCTCAGCTGTGCCTGAACTACCAGGATCAGCTCTGCTGTGCTCTTTAGGAGAGATGGAACTCACTCTCTGTAATTCTGCAGCCAGCAATGAGTAGGACTAGATCTTCTGCACTGATGACCCCGTGGGCAGCTTTCCCACCTGCCTGCTGGAGGTAGTAAGGGGTAGGATGGGAAGGGACATCACCTCTGTGCCCATACCACCCTATGGCAGACAAGTAGTGCTGTCATCTCTCCCATACACACACCCTCTAAGCCTGCTTATCACAACCTTACCACCAGGAACAGCTTCACCGTGATGCCCTGGCAAGGTGCAGGGCCTGCTCTCCTGAGAGCTGCTGTAGGTGAGAGGTGGGGTCAGCTCTCCAGAGCACCACAGCCATTGTGGTACAGGACAAATTCTACAAAGCCCCTGGATAGCCTCATGGTCCCTTTTGGGAAGCCATGGCAAGGCCTTACTCTTGGCAAACACTCATCCTTGGCTCCAGGATTCGCTTGTGAGTTCTCAGACTCCACAGCTGCAGCTAGCTTCCTCCACCTGCAAAGCCCTCTTTCCTTTCCTACCCCTCCCCATATCCTGTTTTCAGAGTATATTACCTATGTGAACAATAAAATCTTTGCCAGCTTGATTAGACTTCTTGACTTGGTGTGCCTCTTTATTTTCTCACACATCTCAGTCCTCTCCACAGGGTCTAAGGGTCCCACTTAATTTTCAAGCTGGACTGGACAGTCCCTGGGTAGCTGTACAGAGCAGGGACATCTCCATGTTCTCTAGTGGTAATATGAGCCATGGATATTTACAATGACCCCTGTCACAGATCCAGACATGGCCCTCAGTTGCAGGGGGTTGGCCATTCTGTGAATCAGGCTACTCCTCTCCACCCCAGATTCTCCAGTTCCATTTCTCTTCGTTATGCTCAAGCTGCTCCATTTCTCTTTCTCTCCTGCCTGTCCACCACACACTCACACATTTTGATGGTTCCTACTGTAGGGTGGCCAAGCAGCTGGCAGGTCCCTCGATGACATCCTCCAGCAATTAGATGTCTGTGGTCTGACTATCCCCTGCTCCAGAGGGCAGGTATGTAGGTGGCATGGTGGTCAGCAGGTCTCTGTCTTCCTCCTCCCATTCTGCACTATGTAGTGGTAGGTATGTATGTGTTTTTTACCTACCTGTGCCCATGCACGGGATAGAGAGCAAGTATGTGGGTGTCTTTCCCCACCTGTACCCAAGACATGGCAAAACAGATGTCTTTGTCTATCTTCCTCCTGTGATACACTGCCTGGGTTTGATTTGATTTGATTTTTATATTTCCTAAGCATAAGATAGCTTTGGTCACCAAGTCAAGCATCAATCTAAGATGGACAAAGGAATGCCATCTGCTCTACCCCTGACTGATATAAGAATACCACCACCAACAAGGTATCTCTTTGCCCATTGCCAGAGGGGCAAAGCTCTGTTTTCTAATTTAATAGCTATGATTTGAATTTAGTCTTGATCTACTTCAAACTAAACACAATTCAAAACTTAGAATCTTAGTCACGTTATTCACATTGCACATTTTCCACCACTGTAGACAACTATTTCAACAGAGAGTTAAGATTAAAATGTCTAGTGTTGATCGTGGATGACCAGCAGAGATACAGCAAACACTACAGATTTCACTGATGTCTGTGAGGTTAGGTACATGAAGGTGTATTTATCCCTGTTAACTCACTAAATTAGAATAAATTTATTTTGTCATCTGTACCTTTAATTTTTTAAATCCTATTTTTAACAGTGGGTTTTAAATGCTGTAACCTCCCTTGTAGTTCATCACCCACCAGAGTTAATGTAAAAGAAAGGATACAGGGGAGTGGACCAATTTAGAAATTTTTTTTGGAAGCAACTCTCATCTGTGTTGTCTGGCAATCTACAGTTCAGTTCACAGGTCAACAGCAGAGGCTTGATCCACTCACAAACACTTGCTAGATACACCAGCAGTCTAGTTCAGTAGAGTCTGGATACCAAACAGGAATCAGCAGTGGTAGCATGATCAACCTAGCAGAGACAGCCAGACCTCAGCTCTGCTCAAGTCAACAGGAGGGACCAGGAGGAATGCCAGAAGTTCTCAGTAGTGCCTCTTTCAGTGAAGTGACTATCAGGGAAGATGTGACATCAACGAGCTTTGCACGGCTGGCTTAGCTCAGCCTCCATCACTGTCCTTCCAGTCCTTTTTATACCCCCTCCAAACATCACATGTCCTCCACATGTCTTACCTCAGCTCACATCTTGCCTCAGCATGTGCATCTGTCTCAGTTGACATCACTCTCCCAATCAGTCCAGAGTACATGGCAGCACATCACCACAAATGTGTTTTGGTGTTCTCTCTATGGAGTCCCAGCAAATGGATCTCAACTACGCAATATAAGACAGACCATTGCATGCATGTTGTTAGCAAAGAATCTTACATCACGTGTCCCTTCATGTGCTTGCTTTAGCAGAACATCCTCCCTCCTGTGTCTGCTTCAGTGAAATGTTCATTCATGAGTCTGCTTTAGTCTTTCACTTGTGTCCACTTCAGGAAAACACCCTTTTATGTGTTTGCCCCATAAAACACTATCTAACACAACTGACTTTTCAAAAAACTCTTAACTTTCCACTTTAGTCGTCAATGACACACTAAATTTATAACATTAATAAATTAATAAAATAATGAATTAACACAACAAAATAATAAATTGACTCTTTATTTCTCAAATGCTTCTTTAGGAATGGTAACATGCCAACTAGTATGGAGAAAGGAAAGGGAAATAGATTAGAGAGTGTACTAATGTCTGAGAAATAAAACTTCAGCGTTTGGGGTTTAAAAGTTCTCACATTGTACTAAGTTCTAAAGTTTCACTTTAGAAAAAGAAAGAGTCTTCTCAGGGTTGGTTTCTGCTTTTTCTGGCAAACTTTAACTTCCTGGTTCAAAGAAAAGACATTTATAAATGGGGCTCACAAGGCTTCTCTGACATCAAATCACTCTTACGACGCAACATTTTGATGAGTTGAGTGTAAATGAACCAGAAACATGTGGATTAAATTTCCCCTATGGTAGTAAGAGGTTAGAAAAATTGAGGGGAAAATGTGCCTGGGAAAATGCACTTGGGGTTTTCTGGGCTCTTGGTACTTAAAACTCAGAACATGCTATTTTGTTGGAAAGAAAATGAAAGCAGAGGAAATCACCACAGCTCTGCTCCTTGTGCTGACTTCTAAGGGAACTTGGAATGGGAGGTTAGTTTTCTAGAACTATAATCTGGATTGAGATCATTTTAGGTGGAATCTGTATGGATCAGTAGTTTAATATGGAGTGTAGAGAATGGCTATGGGGAGGGTCCTCCTATCCTTGTACAAGTGAGCACGGTCAGCTAATAAGGGAGGGTGGTGCTGGCCCATCAAGGCTACTGGAAAACCCAAAGGTAAAAGAATGGTACTGGCAGGCTCTTAGTTGCTCTCTTGAATGCCACTGACAAGTTTGTTATTGACAAGCGTCACATTCAGATGGACACAAAGGCTCAGGAAAGATGCGTAGAAGAGGAAAAAGATTAGGCTAGAGGTGATATCAACAGCAATTCAAGGCAAAATGATAAACACTTAGGGAAAGGTTATTAGACAGGGCACTACATATAGTACATGACAGTATCCCTACCACTTCAAGCCTGAGACAGCCTAAGTTAAGTCTAGGCTATGATTCACAACAATAGGAAAAGAGTATGAACTATTGCAAATGCAATTTATATGGTAAATAAAATGAGAATTCATTTCCCAAAATTTTACTTTAGAAATAGATAATTGTGTCTGCAGACACCAGGCATACATGTAGTACACATATATGTATTCAGGCAAAATGCTCTTATAAAAAAAAAATAAAATCTGTCATTGGGGCAGAAAGTGGCTCAATTGCATGAGCTTTTCACATGCTTTTTATGGCTTATAAAATCAAGAAACCAAGAGAATTCATAGATCTATTATATGATAATTAGTAAGTGTCTATCAAGTACATAAATATTGTAAATACAAAGATACCATATTATTGTCTTGAGATAGCAAGGCTTAGAGTTTATATTGTCTACCCAAATCACTCTTAGAGACAGACTAGAAAATTAGCCAAGTTGTTCAGGCCCACATTGGCTCATTAATAATCTTTGTTGTTATACTTTGTCTTACAGTCTGGAAATAAACATGTGTTGGTGGAAGAGTTGCTTGATTTCCTCAATCAATTTTGAATCCAACAATCCTTTGGCTAGAGTTACTTGTATGTAGCTGAATGGTTCATTAGAGGAAACTGACACTATAAATTCATAGAGGCATCTATAAATCTCCACTTTTAAATTCTTAGGTTAAGACACACCAAGTCTAGACATTGCCCCAAAGAAACAATCCTTCCTTGCCAAAGTAGAATTTTCTCATATACTGCCAACAGCAGTTATAGAACTTCTTTCTATACTTATCTCTTTTTTCATTTCAATTCATGGTCATGTGTTTCAATGTGGAAATGAAAGCTTATGTCATAAAACTGGAGGGATGAAAATGGAGTATGTTAGGATGACCTTAAAGGACTTGCTCACTGACCCACTTGCTAACAAAACAAGACAATGGGGCAAGGGAGGGGGGCAGGAATTTAAACTGGGATCCTCCTAATTCCCAATTCCACATTTAGAGTCACTACCACTTGAGAAGTTGAGGAGTAATTCTAATTAATCAGGTTAACCATTGTTCTTAGTAATTGTGTTTGGCAATAAAAAAAGAGGGGCTAAGATAAAACCATCCTCTAAGTAATAAAAAGAAGCCCTTAAATTTCTAACATACCTATGAAAGCTGGAAGAATATTTCTGGCACAGGATAAGCTCAGACATGAGACACTTGACATCCAAATACATGAAACACCAATTAAGAGATCAATGATGGGCATCTGAGTATCTTGCCTTGGTCTTATTCTGCCCCATGCACTGTGAAAGATGACTAGCATCATGTTATTCTTACTTACCAGTTGTGAGTTCATATGCACTGAGTTTGTGTAAACACTGTATTATCTGTGTATTCTTCTATGTGTAAACTAAGTTAATTTACTTTATGTTTGATATTAAAGTCTCATTTAACTGAATTACATTAAGTATCATAAATGTTGAAGAAGTGACTACATATATTTTAAAAATTCTTAGTTTTCTCTCTTTTCTAAAATGTTTGCTATATAGAGGAAGAAGGATGTGAAGTTCCTTGGAGACAGCTCCTTATGAAGGGTCTGTATAAGAAAAAAGGATACAGGCACTCATGGTTAAGAGAAAGTTCTGGAAATAATCTGAGTTTGAGCCAAGGTTCTTGGTGTGCAGATTTGGCCATGTCTCAAGGTCTTTCTTCGTCTCAGTTTTTCATTTGTAAAATGAGTGAAATAATTGTAGTACCATATAAAATTGTTTGAAGAGTAAAATGATTTATTATATGTAAAGTCTCAGAACAGTGGCCATCATATAATTAATAATGGATGTTAGATACTACCCTTTTCCTTTCACTAGTAACTCTACACTCTCTCACTTATGTATACCCAAAGTATTCTTCTATAGTGCTTCTTTACAATTACCATTTGGTTTGACACATATGAGTGGTTTTAAAGACAGGAAAAATATAGATCTTGAACATTCTTTGTTTGATTTATTTGCTGTATTTTATACATATAAGTGTTTTGCCTGCATTCATATGCGTATATCCCATGTGTTTTTAGTGCCTGTAGGGATCAAAAAAGGATGTTAGATCCTCTGAACTGCACTTATAGATGACTGTGGGCCACTATGTGGGTGCTAGGAGTCAGATCTTCTGTAAAAGTATAAGTACTTTTAACTGCTGTTCTAGTTTTTTAAGAATGTAAAAAGGGACTTTTATAATCTTTCTACTGCCTCTTGAGCAATTCTTTCTGAGCCTTAGGTATGAGAATGTTTCTTAGATGTATCCATTGGTACTGGGATTAATGACTCTGCATTTTAATTGATTGTGGTTTTATATAATGGTGTCTGTTGGAAAGATGTTCCTGATGAGGGATGAAGGCTACACTTCTCTGTAGATTTAAAGACAAATGTTTATAGATTATTGTTATAGACTATGCTGGTTTAGTAAATTAGAGGGTATAGATTCTATCTTAATCGTCATGACTTCACTGGCATTGAGTAGTTAACTAGGTTTTCAGTACCAGACAGTTTCCTTCTTGTTGAATAACTGATCTTAAGAAGTTTAATTAGATAGCTACTAGTTACCATCAACTTATGTGTGCCACCTCTGCATCCTTAGGATATTGTGTCATGCTTGTTGTTGATTTGGTTCTTAGTTATCATATCTAGGAAGATCTGTTGGTTGCCTCTCTCCTTTGGATGCTTTCATGGTATCCTCTGGTATTATGAAACTTAATCCTCATGGAAGGGAAATTTAGAACATAT